ACCATATACACAAGTCGAAAGGATTCTTATAAGCAAAGATTCAAATTCAAAATTAGATTTGCGCTTGTGCATGCAAAAAGGAAAATGACGGATCCATCATCGACTGCAACCAGCTGTCAGCAGTCGTGACTTGTTACGACAGGCGACGCCAAACCCGAGAACAAGAACCGTTCGCACTATGCGCTGGGGACATACGGGATCACAGTAGCTATCACAGGCCGGAGGGAAATAGCAGTTCCTAGGGGATGCTACGAGCCATGGCGGCGTGGTGCTTTTTCAGTTCCGGTTGGATATGTCAGCACCGTCAGACTCATAGGTTGGAGTGGGCGAGAAGGTTGCTTAAATCAACGCAACAGATGTTACTTTTTTTAGCTACATAATAATCTGATATGTACTATTGTAAATGAAAATGCATTAGGAGCAATATAGCTTGGTTCGGAGCTGTACATTTGGTTTCAAAGCAAGGATTGTAGCTTGTAATTTCATTGTCAGTGTTTGAATGGTGGTGGATCAAACCGACGCCATAATAGCTTGGCTACTGGCATGCCTGATGAGCTGTATATTAGAGAGAATAGTGTCTAAGCATGTGATGAGGACGCAACCGATAGTATATGCAGACTAAGTGGCTAACTAAAAGAACAGAGGAACACTATAAGGTATGGTGTATAGGGTTTGAGTGACATCACCTTCGTGCTGTTGTCTGTAGGATTCGTCAAGAGCCACTCTATCCACATTGAATTCGTCCGCTGTTAGACATTCAAGGAAAAACATGCATTGGATCAACGTAAAAAAAACATGCATTGGAGCTAAGTATTAGGAACTATGGTATGCATCATCTACATGAATACTGTGATGTTACATGTGTCCAAAAAACACATACAACCAGAATTATCAGATGTTTCGTCGCCATGCTTGAAGTCTAGTGGTGCTTTAGAAAGGTGCGTGGAGCGTGATAATTGGCATCCTAGGTATCACAAGATATCTAATTAAACCACTAAAAGAATAGTATACCGTAAAGACAACCAGAAATTGAAACATCATAAAATTGACATCCTAGGCATCATATAAAGAAATATATTGTCAGTAAAGGGAACAAATGGCTCACATAGGCTGCAAACATAATAAATTTGACTCTAAAACATTTTTAAAGGGAAAACACAGTTTCAATCTACACAGTAGAGAGGTATATAAAAATTTGGAAATCAGGCTACAAAATGTATGCAAGGACATCGAACAGAAGATAAAGCAATAATTTGTACAATAAACTGAGAACGTAAAACTAAAGATTTTACAACCAGGAAGATAAATAAGAGATAGAAGAGTTGATACTAACCCAAAAGGCAGCTATAATTACCCAATGGTAGAATAGTTAGGTAACACATCTTATATTACGATCAGTCTACGTCTTCGGCCATTTGAAATCTCTGAATCACCGAGTAGAAGCATTGAATCACCGATACTAATTAGATATCTAAAAAGGCATGAGGCGATGCATTAACATTACTGTATTCTGTAAGTGCATAGTTAATTGTCAACTCTAGAATAAGGCATGTCAGAATACTATTGAGCAACACTGTTTTAGTTTGCTGCCATACAAGCATAGATACATGAAACTTTTTTCCACAATTATTAGGAGACATGTATCTTACTAGGAACTATCAAAGCAACAAATATACATGTATCTCCATTGTAGTGGCCAAATATAATTGAAAATATAGAGCAGAGAATAGAGGACGAAAGAACACTGCTCTATCAGGTCAGCTTACTGAAGAGGCAGCCAACATAATTTCCCCTCTTAGCCTTGGAAAAAAAACACTTGCTATGACAACCCTAAATCAAGGAAGAACAATATTCCATTTCATGCAGACTTAACAAGGGTTTTTGTTTTTGAGACGCAGACCATCTTATTCTCGAGCGTGCGGATCTCTGAACTCTAGACCTGAATAGTTACATACAACAAAGGATGAGTCTCAGATTTTATTATCATATAAATCTACCTTACTGGGATTTAACAAAGGGACTCATTATAAATCTATGGTTACACAATTCATTCCAAATATGTATCCCTACAAAGAGTAGTAAAACAATCCATTGTTGGCTAGATTTTAAAATAATATCATAGCACAAATATTTGAGCTATCTTAGATAGGGAAGTTCTAACAATCTTTCATTTGAATAAGATTATTAACTAACCCTGAAGCAACTTCCACATGTCATGAAATATTAAATGGCAATATCGAAGGGTAGTATTACATTAAAATTCCTATGACATGCACAAAAAGATAATGGATTGAACCATTTCATTCCATACTTGAAATAGGAAAAGAGATGTCAGCCCAGGCATTATATTTGCTAAACCACTGATAATCATCTGTGCATGACACAACAATGCATCTATAGGTAGCAACAAAAAATATACAATTATCGAGCAGCTAGTAGAACACCAGCCAAGTAGAAAATTATCAACCACAACTAACAATTCAGACTTAGACTTATAAAGGAATTCGCTCAGATAAGTGAACATATATTTTTTAATCAGATATAGCACAATACGCTCGCTGGTTGCCTTGACTGTTATAATCTAAACCAGATAATACCTTAAGGGTATATCATCAATTAACATTAAAAAGGTACAATTGGAATAACCTCACCTTTTCGTCTACTCAAACCAACAGTTCTAGAAAAAAGAAGACTTACGAAGATGTTACAGATCCAGGCATCCGGTAACTACATATCTAGTCAAATTTATGACCCTGATCCATCGGCACCAGCATGCATACATAATTTTTGACTTGTTATTTGGACCATAAATGAATGACAAATATTGGTTGAATTAAAGGAATTAAAGGGACAACTGAAATAATTTGAAATACAAGCTGATTGTTCTAAACTCATTTATGAAAAGTTAGAAACACTCGCACACCAAATAAGTTTTTTCAAGTTAGAAAACAAATTGCAGGGAATGATTGAAGTTTCCAAGGTAACTAATTTTTTAGTCATCTAGAAACCACACAATAGAAACCTAGGTCAACTTGGCCAATTTAGATTGGAAAACACCACAACCAAGTGGTAATATATTCTGAAGGTTTTCTATGCAACCGAATATACATCAATTCCCATCTAGCACTAAGAACTTAAAACTGAAATATACATCAGGCATAAAAAAGGAGAGTATTTTCCTTGCAGCTGGTAATTTACAGAAGCAAACAGTAAGAGCAAAAAAGGACAGCATCATTTTAGGATGGAAAATAACTTAGTACTATAGTTGTTGTAGACTAACAGTAAAGAGTAATAAGAATAAGTGTCAAGCTTAGGTGACGAATACAAAGATTGTGGCACAAAAAACATGATGTGTACAGGGTACTCCCAAGGGTGACATAAGAGAAATTCACACAAACATTATAGGGGTACGGCACGAATCTTACCAGGACAAACGAAACCTGCATAGATTGACGCGCCAGGAGCTCCTTGCCGTAGCAGTGCTAATCGTGTTAATCTTGCACACCTGCATAATGGTAAGTCTAAATTGATAATCTAGCAATGGCCATTGTGGCCATGAAAAAAATCAATCATGAGACCTACAAAGTACCCAAAAGAAATTCCAGAATACACAAGCCATCATTTTCACTCCATATGAACTATGCACTTCGAAGCTGTTTAACACACTGCTTCTTTTTTGTTTCAGTAGTCGCAAGTAACGTCGCACACCTCACTACAATAAAAATGATGTTTCAAATCACATGAACGTGGAGACCATTCCTTGGTTCGTTAAATTTACTACTTCTAAAGTAAACAACCATGCCGGACGAATGCAAGATAAAGACAACTTACATTGGCAACATGCTATTGCTGCATATGCACAGAAGAGAGGGCAACAATAGCTACAAAACCCAGCAAGCAGCAACAAATAACCCCTTCTGCACAATGACCTAAAAATCAGTAACAGTGGCTTCTAAGGACACACGTAAATTCGGTAAATGCAACTGCAGTCTATAAACACCATGTACCAAGCACACATCAGCAGGACGCCCTCATGTTGCATCCCTCGACGCTGGACGCTGCGAGAGGACGCCTTCAGGCCAGATCCGGTAGGGGAACGAACGGATCCATCCATGGAGGTCTTGGATCCGATCGTGGAGGCCCCAGATCGACCCCAGCAAAGGCCGACACCCGTTTACCCCGGGGAGCACCCTCGCACCGCGCTCGGAGCAACGAGAGAGGAGGGAGGTGGGAGAGGCAGGCGCGCTCGTCTTGCGCCGGCGGCCGCCGTTGGAGCGTGCCCGCGCCGCCACCTCGTCGGGGCTCGCCCATGCCAGGGCTGCCGCACCGGGGGCGTGCCGAGCCACCACGTCGGGGGCCTTCCTCGCCGAGGGCCTGCCACGCCGCCGCCACTGCCGCCGAGACGCGCGTGACGGGGCCAGCCCTAGCCAAGAGAGAGGGAGAGGGAGGACTAGAGGAGAGGCGGGCACGAGAGAGTGTGTGTGCTGTGAATCGGAAACTGGGGTGTTGAGTCGAAGCGGAAGCCACAGAAGCGACAAGAAGATGCTCTGGACAGAAGTAGATTCAAGCAACATCTGCCTAGGATCAAAGATCGGACGGCCAGAATTAATCGGAATGACGTGTACGCTCTCGTTGAGGTTGAGCTCCTGCGGTTCTCTTGTTTTTAAATTCTCACCCTTGTCGCCATCGAAATGCCAGAACTAGACGTCAAAGCCGTGTCCATTACTCTCTACATAAAACTAGCAACTTGCTGCTGCAGCTGCTGCACCTGTCATTATATAAGGCACCTGCACTTGTTGCGTTTGGAGTCTCCCTCCCAGTCCCCAGCTACAGCTAGCCCACCTCTCCAAGAACCCTAAAAACGAACTTCACTGACCACCGCACCGGCCGGCATTCAATTCATCAGCTTATCTGATACGGTATTTCTTCCGATCCATAGCAATACTATATAGCGCCAGCTCTAGCAATATATCCCCTGCTCCGATCGATCCGGCCGATCCATGGAAGGTGGGTTCAACAAGAGCGGCTCACCGGAGGCGGAAGGCTCGAGGCGGGCGCCCACGGGGGCCTACTACGAGTGCTCCTTCTGCAAGAGGGGGTTCACTAACGCGCAGGCGCTCGGCGGCCACATGAACATCCACCGCAAGGACCGCGGAGGCGGCAGTAAGACCGCGCCGCCGCAGCAGGACGACGCTGGCAGTGGCGGCTCGCGGACCTACGGCGGCGGGGACGTGCACCTGGGCCTGTCCCTGGGGAGGAAGGAGGATGTGGATTTGGAGCTTAGGCTTGGCAGCTATCCTTATAACTAGCTACCACACTTCGATCTCCTCAATTTATTTGCTATATATATATACATGCAGTACTTACTAGCCAAGAAATTAATCAGCGATGGTGAGTTGCTGATTAATATAAAATAGGTATGAATTCAAACTACCGAGTCTCATGCTACTACATAAGGCTTGTTTAATTTTGTGCGCTGCTCTCGATCAATTTTTCATTATTTGGTAGTTTGGTTCCTGCTTAATTGTCCTATTCGCTGCCATTTGAGAATGCTTGATTGAGAGGAAAAGCGATTGCTGTAGCAGGATCAAATAATTTCTGGAGGTCCTAGCTAGCTAGCTGATGTACATAAGTGTGTGTGTGTGTGTGGAGTGTGCATGCATTGGACCATCAGGGACTTACTAGCTACTCACCCTTAAGAAACTTCATCTATCAAGAGAAGATTTTTTATGTTTTGTCCCTTGTGCATGGTAACTTCCGGTCCAGATCAGAGTTCAGACGGAGAATACGAGATAACAAGGTTGTAGAAAAAAATATCCCTCTCGTTGTTAATTAGCTCTGTAAGCTCATCCGACGCTGCATCAAATCTTTAACTACTTTACAGTATTTTTCTTGTTTTTGCAATAAACTAGCTAGAGGTTGCTTTATTGTTTGATTAGTTCCTCCAGTCCTCCAAAAAACAAGCACAAAACTAGTAGTGCAGTAAAATCTCCGGGTTGCAATAAAATATTTTTGTGTACTAATTACCTAGCTTTGTCTATGAAATGCTCCTATGTTCTGTTGGATCGGAGTTTATCTACCTATCATAATAAACTCTGACTAAATGGATTTCATTTTAGTTCAGATATCATAACAGTTCTGAATCTACGTAAGATTATCGATTTACTAATGGCTGCCTACCTAATTGGTACGTGATATCGATTGAAATTTCTTTGAAATACTTCTTATGAATTATTCATTAGTATTATTAGTACAAATGTCCATAACCCCTATACTATCAAAGCTATAACCGCTTTGACATCAATGTTGTAATTCTCCTAGTATATATCATTTCCTATAACTCTGTTGTTTACTTCACGCTCTCTCATGTATATATGGGAGCTTATTGTATGCACTGATGCGAATAAGAAGATCTCTTTTCAGTTCTCTCTCATTTTTGTTCTCTACATTCTTGTATACCAATTTAGTAGTTATTCTATAACACATTATCAGCATGATGACTGTCTTCAAAGACTATTGTCATCTAGGTAACAAACATGTTTGTGCATCATTATATCCTTCTATGCAGTAATAAACCATTTTGATTCTTGTTATTTATACTATACTGTTGTGCAATTATTTATACTGTGTTATTCTATATGTTGTACTTTACTATGTGGAATGTTGCCAAGCTTTATTTTGACATTACTAACAAGAATTATTTATCATGGGTGCTAGTTGTTGAAACTCACTTGCAGTCCAATGGGCTTGGTGAAGTGATCAAAGCAAACAATAGTGCATATAGCCAAGATAAATCTAAAGTTTGTTTTTTATTTGCCGCGACCTGCACGAAGATCTTATTAGGTTTAGTACCACATGGGAAGTTGGTATTGAGGGAGCAGAACATATGAGGTGGGAGAAGTCCTTAACTAAACAACTCTTTTAGGTTGAGCTAGACACTCCACGAGGTATTGTTTTGTTCTGGGCTCTAGCAAACTTAGGTCCGGTGTGGTGGCGGCTCACGCGGGTATAGCGAGCTGGACTGGAGCTGCTATGCATTATTCTAATAGGTCTAATGGCTAAAGACCTTACAGACAAAGATCCACGTGTTCTTTTGTAACAAAAAACTAAAAGAAAGATACGATCACCAAAAAACTGTGATCCTCCCCCTAAACCTTGTTATGAGTGGTTGCACCTAATGTTCTAGCAGTCACAGTATGGACAATATATACCCTTTGTCTGCTTAATCAACATATGCTTTTTGGGAGGTTTAATAAATTTATTCACATCTTGGATATATAAAAGAGACTCTGTTCCTTCATTTTGTGTACATCCATGCCCTATCCATGTGTGGGCCTTAATGAAAACATATAATTGCATCAAAATATTATTCCCATTTAACTAGAGAAAATTTAACTAAAAGACCATCATAAATTGATATCAAATTTTGGCAAAAAAATCAACACACACAATACTGTTTGTAAATTTATAGACACTTTATTTTCATTAAACAAAAAAATCGCCTCTCTCTTACTCTCTCACCTCTCCATGCATGGCTACATATAGATATAGATTTAGATCTACAAATATCTTCATTCATGGACACCATTATATAACCCAATAAAGAGCAAGAAACAAAATAACTAGAGATTGATGTGAACCTACTCCATACAAGTAAGTTGGGAAAAAATTGGTCAAAACTAATAACAAAATGTAAAAGTAACAAGCATGTCTCCCTTTAGATGGAAACCATAATTAACCAAGAGAAATGTATGTGTGGGCCTTTAAAAACAAATTCTGATGGCATGAACTTACCTCTTAAAGGCAACTCCTTCAAAGTGCAAAGACTCTTCCTCTATCTTTGCAACCTTTTAGCCGCCAAATGAGCTCCCAACAGAGTGATCTATAGATTTATTGAGAGGAAGAAGAAAAAAATATAGGCAGTTATTTTCAGTGGCAGTTCACTAAAAGGACCAGTCATGTAAATTATTTTTTAGAAAAGAACTGCTCCTAGAAAAAAAATGATTTTTAGGACTAGTTCTCTTAATAAGATCGACCCTGAAATTGCATTTGCAGGGGGCGGTTCTATTAATAGAACGCCCTTGAAAATGGTTATATTTCTAGGGGCGGTTTTTGTAACACACAGGGGTTAGAGGGCTAGGGCCTTTTCTCCAGTGACCCTGAGGGCCTTGCATTGGATAAATCTAGTGACTAGAAAAAACATTGCAAACAACCATCTCCCCAGCAAGTTTTTCAAATGCACTAACTCCAAATGTGTTCCACAAGAACACTAACACCTTAAGCACTTGAGTTAGCATTTTCAAAACATTTTCACTTGCTTCCGATCCTTACCACGTCACTAGGTCAAATCCATATCCAAAGAATGTCATCACCAAACTAGATAACCACAATTACTTTAGAGCTCCCATCTTAATACTACAACTATCTATACTAAATCCGACTATGCACCCCATTGCATCTTGGCTGGCGAAACAAAACCCTATTGCATATACCTTTGCCTTTGGGCTTGTTTCCATCTCCAAATCATTCACCTCCAAAGTTGAACACTTGCATATGGCATGATCATCATCTCCACCATCTCCTTGCCTTTCTTAACTCCTTCATGTGGACCTAGCTCAATCATCTCAATTGAAACCATTAGTCTACTAGTTGTCACTTAATTACTAAAACCAAACTAGGGCCTTCAAAGACAAGGCCAATTTTTACTATGTTAATGCTAGTTGTTCAAGTTGATATGTCGTTTTTTATGTGAGCTTTTATACTTGTTTTGTTGTTTAAAACTTTAAAGCTTGGTTCCTAAGACATCTTTCCTCAAAACTGGCTTATCTTGTATTCATATTAATTTTCAAATAGCACATCTTATCGACAGGAACATATATTTTAGACTCACTAGAGATGAAACTAAATGGTTGTTTTTTTTAGATGAAGGAAGAATTATATTAAATTATAACTAAGTACATCATTATGTTACAAGCAATCTGGAATACAATATGTATACCCAGAAACTATTCTTCATCTATATTGTACTCACGCTTCGTATAGCTCCAAATCTCAATCCCAAACATTTATGACGATTCGTATGGATGACCGCACAGGCAAATACTCGGCAAAAAGCCTGAGAAGAGATGCTCAACAAACGACGACCAACTTTCTTGCAGGTGGAGTTGAAAAACTTCTTCTTTCTTGTGTCTTCCTTCTACCACCGAAGAATAAGGAAAACTGATCTAAAAAATCTTCCCAATTCAATACCAGTAATTGGCTTGAGGGGTAGATTTATTCTCGCTAGTCCTTCATCATGGTCAGATCTAACCACAACAAAATGGAGAAAAGACCTGAGAAAATTATTCCATGGTGGCAGCATCATCTCCGCCTTAATGTCGCCATTCAGAAACCTAAGTCTCCATGTCATCATGCCAAGGAAGTTGTTGACGCTGTAGTTCTCGCTCTCATCTTCATCAGAGTCTCCATGGAGAAACCAAATCCACTCTACCCCCTCCCCGTTGCCGGGAAGGAGGAGGAGATAAATCCCCACTACCAAGAAACTTTTTTTTGAAAGGCAATACCACGAAACTTGGCATGGAGAGATTCTAACCCTAAAGGACTTGATCTACTTGAAAAACTTATTAGAGATGGATCATTACTCCCCTCCAGCCTCTAGCTAGTTGTCGGAGGGGAAAGGTGGGGGACTAGCGGTGGTGGAGACGGGGGACGGCGGCGGCGGTGGCCTCGTCTGCGTCCTAGGGCATAGAAGAGAGGGCAGGGCCTAAAACTAAATGGTTGTGGGCTAGGTCAATATGTAGTTTTACAAAATGTGATAGTAGTGGATTTGCTAATACATTATACATGAATGAATCAATGTTTGTTTGTATGATTGGTGTATCTTATGAGTTGTGATGCATGTTCATGTGGTGATGATGTGGCACCAATTTGCAATGTTCTTTTTCATCACTATGGCCGAATCTAGGCCAGTTATAGGAGATGGACAAATAATCCATGGGGGATAGAAACATCACTGCTGTTTTTGATTTGTGATGTTCTTTTTTGGGGCAATAAATTTATGACATGAGTTTCATGATTATTTTTTGATTTGTCATGGCTAGTTATTTGTGACACATTTTTATAGGTCTATGACAAAAGCTAAACATCATGGATCGCCATATTTGTAGTAGTGTGTGAACCATAACAATAAGAAATCGGTGACGATTGTAAAAAAACAATATGTGTAGTAGGCTAGTAGCGCATATCTTGAACTGCCTCTTTTATTACATGTTTCCTAGAAAATATCAAAATGCTCAAAAAGGCATGACAC